TGCAGGCCTGACAGCAGCAGATGTATCACTGCTGTAACACCTGTAACACTCAGCAGTCGCCTCATTGTTCTGACACACAACAACACTACTGACTACACTACACACTGACTACACACTGACTACACACTGACTACACACTAACTACACAAGATTTGCGCTAAACGTCTCAAACACGCCGTCACTCCTAAAACTTCCCCCATTTCTTAACAACTAGATGCCATGTTTTGATTGGTCGACATGGTACTTTTTTGGACGAATAGGAAAGGGTGGGGGGTTGGTGTTGTTTTTGTTCACAGGCTTTCGAGCGTTTTCCTTATAAAACGCCGTTTTTACCGTTTCTTCCTGCAGTAAATAAACAACGACAGTATTCAGGAAGAAAACCAAACATTGCAGATATTTTATCATAACTGTGGTTTCACGTGGCCGATCAACACAATTTAAAAACTGGTATAAAGTCCACACTTTGTCCGTCAGTTGTTCCGTCTGTCCTGCTCACATCTCCAATGGTTGTACACGTTGTCATTAACGTGGCTTCACTCCACATCAGCCGCTTTGCTAAAACACCGGCACATAAGGACGCTGTCATAGCCTGTCAGCGACGTTGATTAGCTGCGTATATACGAATGTGAATCGCATCGTTGGCTGGACTGTGGGATAAGGTGGCATCGTTCTGATCCCATACGGGAGCAGCCAGTCACTGACTCACACTGCAGAACAGGATTGTTGAAGTTTTAATGTTATTTTTCAATTCAGGTTAGTTTTTTTGTGCGCAGTGCAGATTTTCTGTGCAGAGGCCGTGCCAGCAGTGCGCAATTGCGCACGCGCGCAGCTTAGAGGGAACATTGGTTATGAGCAAACCTCACTTCTGATTCAGGGACATTTTTCAGTTGGCTCATGTAAAAAGCCTTTTGCAGGTGTAATTAAAGGTGGTACTACCTGATTAGAAACATATGCTCTCGATACACAGACACTGGAAGGTTACTGACAGAAGACTCTTAAATTAAGCACCGGATAGTGAAAGAACACAGTCCAAGGTATTACATCACGATATTCTTTGGAAATAACGACAGTGAATTTAAAAATGGCACGTCTTTGTTGCTGGAGCTGAGCTTACTGTCTCATATTTATACCTGCCGTGGATGGGACAGTGAGTGAGGCGTGTGCAGGACCTCTACTGTCTGACTAACACTGTGTCAAACACAGGCACATGAATGCATACAGCCCCACACACATGTTCGAGTATCTCAGCAAAGCAAACACTTACAGACGACCTGCATGTTGTAGTGGGCTTCTTTGCTGCTGACGGCGTTGCTGACCCGACAGGTGAACCTTCCGTTGTCGTCCTTCTGCAGCGGGCTGATCAGTACAGAACTTTCATCAGCGGCAAAAACCACACGAGGGCTGGAAGGCCCAAGAGGTTTACCATCTTTCAGCCAGTCTACCTTCCCCACAGTGCCCCCGTCGCCTGGCAGCTGAGGTTTGCCGTGCTGTTGCTGGCGATGAGGTCACCAGTCGGACCGATGATTTCAACACTTGAGATTCCCTCTAGGAAAATTAAAGGGAGACACAAGGATGATAACGGTCTTCCTGTGTTTATTATTCTGATTTTACTGTGATCATTCTATTTTCTGGCACATATTACATCAATTATTAAAGATACATAAAGAAGTGATCCAAAGTGCAGTAAGGACTGTAAATACAGTCAGGATAGTCCAGGTGTGAGCATGTCTGAGAAAATGACCCCACTCTGCGCCTGATTTACAACCTCGGCAGAGCAAATTCCTGAGATGCTTCTGTCTTAGGAGCGAGTTTGAAGTCTTACCGGTAACAACATGATGTTCGTTTTCTAACTTACGGTCTCGTTCAGCAGAAACAGACAATAGAGTCAGGGCGTGGCAGGCCTTTGACTGACATGCTGCAACAGCGTGAGCATGCCTTTGCCTCCGTGTCTTAGTAACGTCTGATTTCAAAAACAAAAGACGCTGATGGCCGAATGCCAAAACCTCATGAACCAGTGAGCGGCAAGCTGGATCCAACACGTCCCACAATGCAACTGCACAGGGTTTCTGATTAGAGCCACGTCGCCTGCTAAACAAACACGTTCTCACTCCACACCTCCAGGTAGGTTGTCCTGTGATTGGGCGGTACACGACGGCTGCGGCAGCCAATTAAAGTCTGTTTTGTGAGCATCGTGACCTCTGTGGAGGTTGGAGGCTTCGACAAACTAAGAAACCTGATGCTTGAATCCTTAACTCGGACATTTAAAGCTATTAAAAATGAGCATAATTGTAGGAATTCTAAAACTTTGAACTCCGTGTACTCAAACTGACATGATCCCAAAGTAAGGGAAGAAGAAACATCCAACTGAGGGAGAAGAACGGGGCTAACCTTTCATTCTCTCTCTTGTAGTTCAGGCTCTCTTTACCGTTTGCTTTCCACTGATAAGAGCACCAACAGGCTCCGCCTCTTTTTCATCGGCCTGCCATCAGCCCTCTCAGGTGTTTCTGTTATGTTAGTTTCATCGTCTCAGTAATCTTGAGTCATTTTATGATCATTTGGGGGCTTGTCTATGATTTGAAGGCTTATAATCAATGATGTCCATTTTTAATTCACTAAGACTAACACAAGCGTGGCCTAGCAGCTGCTATAACGTTTGTGATTTTTACGCTTTAGGCTACAGTTTATCGTTTCAGCCCGCGAGAACCCTCCGTCATCAACAAAGAGAAACTCCTCAGGGCACAAACATGAAACCGGCCTCCAACCCAGCAGGTTTCTCACAGGTCTGCCAGCCCCACAGCACAGCCAGCTTGAAAACAACATCTTTGAAAAACATGAAGAAAACGAGTCCTGGGCTGTAATGACAGACGACTCACATTTTCTGTTAGCACAACGTTTCAACACCTCACAGGTGAAAACTGTGACGAAGGTCACGAGCACTTATTATGACTCATCCTTTAAAAGCCTCGGACAGAGAAAAGAGCAGGAGTCCTTCAGTCTGCCTGACTGGCTTTTATGTTCCTGGATACTCAATAAACTCTGTGTTACATATGAATGCCAACCTGACAGACACCACTAAGAAAGATAGATAGATAGCTAGATAGCTAGATAGATAGATATTATTTTCCAGTGTAAGAAAATCAGCACTGCTCAGTGTCAGCCATTCTTGATCTTCAAAACTGGCTAGGTTACTTTTAAACATGTAACACTGTCAAAAGTGTTAATTTAACACTGGAGATTTTGCTGTGTACAATGACCCCACTCAGCCACGTCACTCACCCATAATGGTGAAGGAAACAGCCGGGGAAGGGACGCTGCGTTTGCTCTTGGGATTTTCAGCCCGACAGGTGTAGTTAGCCGCCTCCGTGTACCCTTTGATCATATCCAGAGTGAGGACGGAGCTGGAAGTCTCGATCCTCATCCCGTTATAGTACCACGTGAAGGAGGCGGGCGGCAGGGAGCTGGCCGAGCAGGTCAGGTTGAACGTGGAACCAGCCTGGATGAACTTGGGTGGATTTGCAGGCGTGATGGTGACATCATCAGGTCCGTCTGTGGAGAGGGGAGTGCAACATGACTGTAAACAGTTTGTACTTCATCATTAAACCGACTGACAAACCAGCAGCTCTAATCGCCAAGATGGCAGCAGCAGAAACGTGATGGGTGGAGTCAGTGACTACATCCTTTCATGTGACATTAATACAGAATGACTGCAATAATTCCCTTTTACTTACTTTCCCTTATTGTTTGATAATTAGTGCTCAGAGATTATGAATGAAGTTATCTTTTCCCCACCAGTAAAACTCATCTCACCTCATCTTCATCGCTTTGTAGACCTGCAGGAATAACGAGCTAACAAATCAAGCACAGTCGTCCAGGCCTGAGACAAACTACTGCTTTAGAACAAACTCCATATGGTTGATTGTTCTCCTTTAAAACACCACAGTGAACACAGTCCAGCATATATTTGCTCGTTGTGACTCCAGCTCTACAAGAACAGCTTTTCCAGGCTTGTAGAGAAACAGATTTCGCCCCCATGGCTAACTGGGAGTTCCTTCCAGACCCGATGAAGCCGTCAGCTTCATATTAATTAATAACAGAGTTCAGCAGCAGTCGCTGTGGCTTTTCGCTGCCTCTCAGGTTAGTCATGCAGGAGTGGAAGTGTGTACACAGTGTGGTTAGCACAGACTGAGAGGGCGCGCCGTGCAAACACACAAACACACACATGCCTGCGTGTGTGAGTAGCAATGGTCACGTCTCACCCAGCAGTGACACCTCTGTGCTTACTGAGGACTTTAAATGCCGGGGTGTGAAGGACCGACCGGGCCTGACTCATGTTTGACCTTTGTTGTGCGGCAGGTGTGGAGCTCATTCGCTCATTCAGGTGCAACGTTACAAACAATGTAAGAGTAAAGACCGGGCTAACTGTCCAACTGCCACAGCTAACAGGAAATACCTGTACAGGAATGCTAAATATGCAGGTGTCACGAAACATGCCAGCATTAAGAGTATGCATCAGAGAGCCCTGAAACAGCAGGTCCCCCTCACAGCTGAGCTCGCTCTTTGGGAAACACAAATGTGAGGGCAGCGAGTGTTTGCACGTGTAGCTGAGATAAACAGCACTGCATATATTTGATTTGTTATTATTTAAATGGAATTTGTGTAATACTAAGGTTCCACATGTCACTGTTACAGTGGGGCACTAATCAGTGGGACACCGCTAGTAAACATGTTGCATGTGTGGGGGTTCCCAGCCACAGTTGCATGGACTCCACAGTGGTAAGGCACGTTCTCTGTAGCTCCTCCCCCTGTACTAAATGATACGTTTAAATGTGGCGTTTTATTATTAGTATGAGTTCTGAGGGCTGAAGGTTCCCAAAGTGCTTTTGATTACTTTGAAAGAGGAAAATAGGAATGGAACCTGCTTCTTATCCATTAAACGCTCCTTTATGTGTTTTCACTCGTGCTAAAGGGAGGAGCTGCCAGAGGTGTGGACTCGAGTCACATGACTTGGACTCGAGTCAGACTCGAGTCCAAGTCATGTGACTCGAGTCATTAATTTTATGACTTTAGACTTGACTTGAAAAAATGTTCTAAGACTTGTGACTTGACTTGGACTTTTACACCAATGACTTGGGACTTGAATTGGACTTGAACCAGTTTACTTGAAAAGACTTGATATTTTACCCCAAATATAAAATTTAACATGCATATTATATAGAGATTGAAAATGTGACGTCATTCACGGGTAGAACCGCAAAGGATTCTGGGAACTCGTGGCAAGCGGTACTAGCGCACGCAGGCTTTCAATTAAAATCAGTCACACAGCGATAAAAAGAAACACAAAAATGTCAAGAAGCTGTTGTATTATTAACTGCAATAGCCGGTCGCATGACAGCCACGGGAAGCCGACGGGTAAAGAGATCGGTTGTTATCGGATTACGTCGTTGAAGAGAAATTGTTCGAGCCATGTTTCCGAAGTAACAAAGACGCGATGGATGGCCTGGATTGCAGCCATTCAAAGACCAAATATAACGTCCCAGAACACTCCAGCTCACAGGTTAGTCTGCTCCAAGCATTTACACGAAGGTCAGTCTGCTGTTGTAGTTAATGCGTCATTTTTCTTAACATAATTGGTGATATAGGTTACAAGCAAGTCTGGCGCTGAACAGAAATTGTCGCTCCTTTGTTTATTGTGCATAAATAGTGAATTGTCCTGACACAATATTGCGTTTCGCTTCTGTTATTATGGTACATTGACAAAAACATATACTTTTATTCACAGGATAAAACAGGTTTTTTGTATCACTAATTGCCCAGTACGATTACAGCATACAGTATTATTGTCACTGCTACATTTCTGTGATGCTACCAGAAATTATTTCCACTACTAATTAATTACCGTTGAGCTCAAAGGTCCTATTAATAAACTGTTAACGAATGTGTATTTATGACGACGATTTGTGAGACTGGTAAACTTATGATACGTACGATGGTCTTTCGTTCTACACGGTGCATTTCAAGGTCCTGCACCCATCCGTCGGTAAACTGTACCTGGGCTTGTTGCAGTGACCTGAAGTTACTAAACTTCATGAGTGTATGCACTCACTCCAAGAACCGTATAATTATAAATATGCATATAAATATGCTAAGATGAGATAGCTGACTTCATCTAACTAGCAAATGTTATCCAGGCTACGTTGGTGATACAGTTTTTTTTAATGTGTATGATATTTTTGTCATGCGATTTTAAAGCCGGTCCTACAAGCGCATCCAAGAATAACATGCAGCTTATCTCAGAACTGTCGGTGAAAATTATTCTTGGAGCTAGGTTTAATTGAGCTGCATTTTAAAGAGGTGCAATTTGTGTATATTTTCTAAGTTCACTATTTTGTCATGTGTTGAGAAAAACACAGATTTTAAAATTACATGGTCTAATATTTACATTTAGCATAACTGCAACATTATTTTTTCTTTTTTTTTTTAAAGACTCGAAAGGACTTGAAATTCAAAGTTTCAGACTTGTGACTTTACTCGGACTTTTACACCAGTGACTTGAGACTCGACTCTGACTGGCCTGACATTACTGACTTGAGACTTGAGGATAAAGACTTGAGACTTACTTGAGACTTGCAAAACAATGACTTGGTCCCACCTCTGGGAGCTGCTGCTGTGTGGGTCCACTGATGTTGCTGCTGCTGCATTATATCTTTTATAATGTAAAGCCAGTTTTGCAACCAATTCCTGTTTGTAATCACAACGCAGTCTGCCATTAGATATCTGCTCCAGGGCGGTGATGAGCGCGCAGTCGTTAAATGACGACGGCTCATCTTTCAGAAAACTGCAGTCGGGACTTTTGTGGCAATCTGCCAAACTAGAATTTGTGTTAATCTGTGTTTTGATGCGAGGTCGGTGATAGACGGGAGGTCACGAGATGAGCGGGAAAATAAGCCCACGGCTTTCATGTCACGACACGTCAGCAGCCGAGGACGTCTTTCCAAGAAAACTGCAGTTTTTGTGGAACAGCAGGTGTGTATTACAGTTCCAGTTTCCCCCTCTGGGGACAAAAACACCTCCTTACACGTCCAACGCTCGCTGACTTCCACGGCCAGCTTCCAGCTTTCTAAGAGCTGAGCACAGACCTGACGGGGCTGAGCAGCTGAAACCGTCTGCTGCGAGGATGCAACCTCAGCCGTGCTTCCACATCTGCAGAAACTCGGCGGATTCTCTGCTACACTTCCTGTTGCGTTTGCTGCATGTCTGCCGAGTAACACCCAGACTAAAAGCCTCTGGTATTGTGCTCTGAACGGTGTCATGCAGTCCGGCTGCAGTACTTACAGTAGACGGTGAGGTTGAAAGGGGTGGTGGTAGATTTCGTTGTCAGCGAGTTAGATGCTGTGCAGTAGATCGGACCCACCAGGTCCGTCCTCAGAACATTTTTGATGGTCAGCACGCTGGACGAGTTCGTCTGCGATACAAACCCGAGGACAGAAGACAAACAATGAGGATGACTCAGGTAGAAGTGAAACACCGACCCAAAGATTCACATCAAACAACGCAGAAACAATCAGGGTTGAACTGACCTTTATCTCTGTGATGCGCGTGCCGTCGACCACGATGGGCACGCTGCCGTTGATCCATTTGAAGCTGAGCGAGGAGCCTATAGCGCTGCAGGTAAGAATCACAGTGCTGTTGTATTCAATGGCATCAGGGACGTTGGACTTGATGTCCACGTTGGAGACGGGCTCTGCAGGGAGGAACCAACACAGCAGCAGAGGACAGCATGAGCACAAACGTTCTTTCTGATTTTTTAAGGATTTTTCTCCTCGCAGCTTCCAAGAATGAATTGTTATTTTACATTTTGTCCTTTCTCTGAATACTCCACACCTTTTTGTCTGGCAGAAATGAGCTAAACACACCCAGCTACATCGTTTCTCCTTTGAATGAGGGCCTTATGGACGGTGCAGAAGCAGATTAAGCACTGCTGGATTGTTGGTTTAAGGCCAACGTTTGCATCACCTCCTCGTTTGTAGATGATGACTAACCAAGTAAGCATCGCCATAAAAGCTGAGCAGAGTTAAAGCAGCCTCTGTGTGCGAGTTAGAGCAGGTTGGGGATCTCAGCGAGGTCTACTAGCACTGCCTGCTGCCTTTGGCTCTCAGAGAGGGGAGGCCGACTCAGAGGACAAACATAAAACATTACTTCCTTTTCTAATTGGTTGTGAAGGACACAGGTTTGATTGGGTCGAGCCTGCTCAGGCCTTGCACTAGTTTGGGACTGTGTCAGGGTGTGTTAAGGCGAATATTTCCACAGATTAAAATTAATCAGCATCTTTATTTGTGAAATCCTACTACAAATGAGCAGCCAGCGGCGCAGGCCGGCTTCTCTTCATACAATTGTGCTCTGAAATCGTGATGAAGACGAAAGAGAAACAGAAGCAACCGGCTCGACTCGTTTGCAGTAATCCTGGAGCTACTGTTCACTGGTGATTAAGCAACAGTGGGTGTGTGGGAACGCAAAGGAGTGGAAACCAGTCGGCCTTCAGGAGCTTCACACCATCGCTACTTTGAGATTACTGTTCTAGGATAGCTTGGCTGATAACAGATAAGCTGACTGATCCACAGGAACATTAAAGATCCACTCTGGTGCAAAGAGAGTCAGTGGGTGTGGATATTTGAATTTGTGTAATTACTCCAGAAACTGCTTTACTGATTTTATCAGGCAACAAAACCAGCACATGATATAGATCCATAATAACTAGAGTATTATTGGTCAGCAGAGGTACAGGAGACAGAGAGACATGAGGGCACAGCTAACATGAAGGAAGCTGTTTGTGTTTCTCTGATTTCACTGGTGATTCTACACATGCAGCTTTTATGTCCCCGTAACAGCAATCAAGTTAGTCTTCTCTAACGTGACCTCCAAAATAAGAGCCTGTAGGCATGCTGGCAGGCTGAGTGGCAGGATGTTCCTGTTGGAGGTTTGTCATAGTTACAGCCAGCTCACATCACCTAATGATGCTGCTACTTTACAATCTAGCGCACAGATCAGTATGAAGCCAAGCTCTCTAAGCCAGCCCACAGCTGCTGCTGCACCTGCAAGCTGCTTTGTAACCCACCTCCACTCACAACAGAGCTCCAGCCATGAGGAGAACATCAAGCATCCACCACACATCCACACTGTCTGTGCACCACACACTCTGCTCCTTCTTGTTATCACATCCTCATCATCGAGCAGCTGCAGAGCAACATGAGCAGCGCTGCTGTGGTGACTGTCAGCCTTACTCTCCTCCTTATGCTGGTTTGGGTCTCCAGCAGCTGCTGAAGGACACACCTTGTTTTTGAATGTGAGGTCAGAGCATCAGAGCTGACACACACACACACACACACACACACACACACACACACACACACACACACACACACACACACACACACACACACACGTGTTTTCACATCTTCGTGGGGACGTCTAACTGACCTAATGCTCTCCCCAGCCCCTGACCCTAACCCTGGGCCTAAACCATAACCTAACTGTAACCCTGACACTCAAATCACGCAGCTGAGTACACACGGCCACACTGACTGGAAGGTGCAGCGTCACGAGCCACGCCCTCACACACTGCTGGTTATTTGAAATGAACAGAGTTGTAAAGGAGCTCGCGCACCGGCAGTGTCGCGTTCACCTGTGACAAAGCAAACTTTTCCTCCTCCAGACTGCAGGGATAAGCAGGCGTGGCTCGCAGCTAAATCCCAACCAAACTGAATTTAGAAAAGTGGGCATTTTACGGGCAGCTGTCCCGTGGGTACGTTATAAGCCCCAAACTACACGAAGACACTTTCTGTATTTAATAATCGCGCCAGCACTGCTGGGTTGTTGGTTCGAAGCGACTAATGAAACACAGGGAGGAGGTGGTCACGTACAGCAGTCTGTTCCTCACCGTGATCAGCTCCGCACTGCTGCAGTCTCACAAGCTTCCATTTGTCTGAAGCCACACCTCTGCAGGTAACCGCACAGGTATGGCACACATTACTACTCACCGACCACCTGAAGTTTAGTCTCTCCGACTAGTGTGGCATCAGATGTTATCACAGTGACGGTATAGTCCCCGCTGTCCCCAGGCTTCAGGGCGGACAGGGTCAAGGAGCCGTCGGTGGGGTTAAGCGAAACTCTCCCCGTGTAAGCTGCAGTCACTCTCAAATTTCCACCAACAAATGTAGCCACACCATTTAGGTTATTGAAAATCCAGGTTATGACGTCGAGGTTCTGGCTTGTAATCGTAGTTTTCAGGGTGACATTTCCCCCCACAAGTGCAGACACGGGACCTTCGGGCAGAATGCCCTGCTCCACGCAGCATCCTGCAGAGAACAGCCCACAGAGGCACATTAGACAATAATAATAATAATAACGAGAGTCAGGGAGAACATGTGCACACAGTAAAACTACGAAAAGCTCATGAAGCAGCGGAGCGCACGGAGCGCTCGGAGCTTAATCCTCTCACCGAGCAGCGGCAGCAGGAGCAGGAGCAGGAGCGACTTCAGGGAGAGCGGATCCATCCGGACGGTTCAAGTGTTCCCAGCAGAGAGAGACACGGAGGAGACGCGGCAGTACCTGCTGCTGTTAGAGGGATACACCCAAAGGTGAACGCGCACACGCAGACTCCCTATTTATATGCAGCCCGCCCTGCGTCACTCTTCCTGTTTCTTAAAGAGTTTAGATTTAAACCCTCCCACCTCCGCGCTCAGGTGCACCCCCCCACACACACACCTTACCTCTGAGACCACCGAGCGCGGTCTTCTGCTGTCCCCCGGCCCCCTGTGCTCACGGTGTGTCTTTACTTTGGGGGTTCTTGTGTTTGTTTCTGGTGTTTTTGGACACTGAGTGATTCCTAATAAAGTGGATATAACTCGTGACTTTACTGTTAGAGTCGTTTCCTGGAAATCAAACAGCATCTGCGGATGTTATGAAATGAACGTTGGATGAATGCATCATGTGTAACGCATCAAAGGCATGTCAGACACGTATGAGTTAGCCCATCTCTAACCATAACTGTGGTTGAATAGACTCACAAAGAAAGTGGACCTGCAGTTCAGTGAGGCGATGCTTCCACCCAGTGGAGAGACACTCAACGTGGAGCTGCGCTATCAGCTGCAATGATCACACTAACACCTGCATGAAACTTTGTGGAAGTGAACAGGAAGCAGGCAGAATTCATTACACAGAAGTGTGTCCGCATTACGCCAGGGCCGAGTCCAACACAGTTTACCTTTGCAATGCATTGAAGTGTTTTCTATGACCTTATTCAAAAGGGTAAACTTGTATATATCCTAGGGTGACCATATTTTGATTTACAAAAATAAGGACACTTAGCTCAGTCATGAAGAACTTGCTTAAAGAAACATATTTAACATATTGAACATATTTAAACGACACCTCTGTGCGGTTAATGAATTATGAAATAAAATATGTCATATAGGTTTTACAAGTCAACAAGTGCAAAACAAAATATCCTCTGGAATTAAATAGTGATACAGAAATAATGGCTCATCTGCATAAGAAAAATTACCAGTATTGGGTCGGTATGAGGGCTGGACTGGGACAAACAATTGACCCGGGCATTTTGACTAGAGACCGGCCCAGCAGGTATTACAGGAGAAGCCATAAAGCCTTTGAATGAAAACGAACGCTGTTGTGACAGTGATGTACAGTCTTGTTGGTTTATGTATGATTTCTATACATTTTACATCATATGACCACTTTGGTTGTAAGATTCAGATAATAATTTAATAAAAGCGAGATATTGTTAATGCTCTACCTGGCCCCCTGGCAACACTTTGCTAGACCCGCCCCGGCACAGTTACCAGCTGTCAGCTGCTTAGAAAAGGATCCTGGTGTTATTAGTCTCTCAGAAACAGTTCATAACTTCAACTCATCCATGTCACCTAAAAGGTAAACCTGTTTCTCCATCACCTGTTCAGCTCTGATGATTCAGTAAGGACATCTCCTGGTTTCACCTTCATGTTTCCCTCTCACCACATATCCAAACCGACATCATAACACCATCAGTAACATCATAGCACCACCCAGCTGTATAGAAACTCCATCATGCTAGCTAGTACGCAGTACGAGTTATTGTAACTGACTGTAAAAAGTCAGCACAACGAAAATAAACTAAACTTGGTTTATATCTGACCCAGATGGACTGCAGGTCATAACTTCTTACCTGAAGTTCAGTTCACCTGACACTCGGACCGGCGGCCGCCTCAGGTCTCTGCTCCTGCCTCCCCTTCCCTCATCCACCTGCTGGCCTCTGTGGAAGCTCCACCATAGCCACCACCAAACAACCGAGTTATTTTTACACATCGACCTGCATCTGGCCAATCCAACACCTTTCATTGTTTATACCGTTACAAAAACAACAACAACAGCAACAACAAAACCATCGGTCTGTAAAGCTATGGTCGGTACGAGGGAAATTTCTTTTGCAGTTCGTCTGATAAGATGCACTTGCACTTTGGGATCTTTTAAACATGATTGGGCGCGTTGCTGCGCGCTGTCTGTCCCGTTTGTGAGCGCAGAACAAGCACTCACAAAGCAGCGGTTCGGGGATGATGTCTCACACATGGGCCCTCTGTCAGAATACAGGAAAGCCCAGACATTTTTATCAGTCCCCCCGGACGCCTGGATAGAACGTGAAAAGTGGACATGTCCGGGGGTAAGAGGACAGTTGGTCACCCTAATATATCCCATATTCAGAACACATAATGTGAAATGTGGTTTGTTGCCCAGGGCAACACCGTGGCATAGTTGTGCAGACAAGGAAAGAGCGTATCCAAAGCTTTACTGAGGAACGGAGAAACAGCCTCTTCCCAATTAAAAAAGACAAAACACTCTCTGCTACGTTCTCGGTCCGTCTTTGGGGTGGAACAAATCTCAGCCATGAAATTTTAAAGCAGCTCTGAAGGAAAAAGCAGTTCAGCCTGATACGGGCAAGGTGCATCGTGTGGGTATGAAGGCCTCTAGAATGCCTTTCTTATCACAGCAGTGCAGTGAGATACAGAGCATCTCTTGCTCAGTGCAAACATGTGGGAGAAGAAACAGTATTTGTGCTGTGGTTTCAGCAGGCATTAACACACACACAGGATCACCGGAGAAAAACATACAGAACAAAATGCAGCAGTATATGGACACAACAACGTTTTACAGTGAGGGACGTTGTTCTGTTCACAGCTTGCCTCTGCACATCTTTACTTCTGACAAACCGCCTCTAAGATCCTCTTTGAACTTCCAGTCATGTGACTGACCTGCTGCCAGTGGACCAGATTAGCTGAGAGCTGTTTCTCTTCAGAACCACTGAGTTCTTTTCCTCAGACACATGCTGCTGCCATCAAATCCAAAGTGAGCGCATATTAAGAAGAAAGAAAAGAAAGAAAGTGTGTACATTATTGTACTTTATTGAGCCCCGTGGGGAAATTGCTCTCTGCATTTAACCCATTCACTCAGTGAAGCAGTGTTAACAGTGTTAAGACTGTTAACATAAACAAAGCAAACATTCAAACATTACATGTTTTCTGTGCTCTGTGAATAAAATGTGTCTTCATGAGAAATCATGGCTTCTGTTTCTGTTTTGGAACAAAATGTAAAACACAGTGTTTCCTTTTTCTGATCTTTGACAGTCAGCAGTCATCTGCTGCTAAAACCATCCATCCATCCATTCGCTTATCCTTTTCAGGGTCGCGGGGGGCGCTGGAGCCTATCCCAGCTGTCATAGGGCGAGAGGCGGGGTACACCCTGGACAGGTCGCCAGTCCGTCGCAGGGCCAACACACAGGGACAGACAACCATTCACACTCACATTCACTCGCACATTCACACCTAGTGACAATTTGGATTATCCAATTAACCTATCCCCACAAGCTGCATGTCTTTGGATGGTGGGAGGAAGCCGGAGTACCCGGAGGGAACCCACGCAAACACGGGGAGAACATGCTCCACACAGAAAGACCCCGGCCTGATGGTGGAACTGAGCTCAGGACCTTCTTGCTGTGCAGTAACAGTGCTAACCACCGTGCTGCTAAAACCATCAGACTTTATGTAGTCTGGTAACAGAGTGAAAAATAACTGCTGCTGTGACGCTGTCACTTCCTGTGCCAATGAACCACAGCTATCTGACCACATCTATATGCAGCACACACCACCTCATGGTTACCAGCAACACAGAGATCGAGACCCTTCTCACTCAGTCTTCACTAAACCGTTAAACTGACTGTGTGAATGGAAGGATGGGTGTTTTTGGCTGAGGGCCCTTCATTGTAAGAACCAGCACGATCTACACCACTATGATCTATATTCATATCTCGTTTCTTTTCACCACTGAGGAACAAACTGTGGTCTCTTTCACAGCATGTCTTTATCCTGTCTTCCTTCTCTCACCCCAACCGGTCGCAGCAGATGGCCCCGCCCTCCCTGAGCCTGGTTCTGCAGGAGGTTTCTTCCTGTTAAAAGGGAGTTTTTCCTTCCCACTGTTGCCAAAGTGCTGCTCATAGGGGGTCATATGATTGTTGGGTTTTTCTCTATATCTATGAAGCGCCTTGAGGCGACTTATGTTGTGATTTGGCGCTATATAAATAAAATTGAATTGAATTGAATTGGTTATTGCAGATTGTGTTCTGGGAAACGTGACACTAGTCACAGTAGTGAATTGTCATCCAGAGGCCAGAGCAGACGACACTGAGGGAACCTGAAAACTACTGGCTGAGTCTCTGTCGTTTCCTCTGGTCCCCAATCAGACCAGCAGTGACATGTTTAGCTGCATGTTCTCCTTAAACTGCTGGCTGTCTGAGTGGTGTCCCAGAAACGATGTGGGCTTCATAGATAATTGGCAAACCTTCTGGAGGAAACCTGGTCTTGTTAGGAGAGACGGCACCCATCCCACTTTGGATGGAGCAGCTCTCATTTCTAGAAATATGGACACATTTCAACGCACATATTAAACAAATATGTAAGACTGCTTTCTTCCATTTGTGCAACATCTCTAAAGTTAGAAATATCCTGTCTCAGAGTGACGCTGAAAAACTAGTTCATGCATTTATTACTTCCAGGCTGGACGACTGTAATTCATTATTATCAGGAAGTCCTAAAAACTCCCTGAAAAGCCTTCAGCTGATCCAAAATGCTGCAGCAAGAGTCCTGACAGGGACTAGAAAGAGAGCAGATTTCTCCTCGTAAGGAGGAGGACTCCCTTACTGTCATTTATATTATAATCTGTATAGCACTTTAGCAGCACACCTTTCACTTTATTAAAAGCACTTTATTTAGCATCACACTTTAAGCAAGGATCGGGTCCCCGACACAAACAGAGTAACATAGTGTACGCTGTTAAGTGCCAGGATTGGCAGGATGTTTCTCTCAGTTGCTGAAATTCCAGATTATCAACACGTACGGAGGAATGTAGTCCTCAGAAAGGACTGAATGCAGCTCGGTTAATCAGGGACCAAAACGTTTGTTTTCTTGAGACAGGACACAAACACTGGAGCTGTGTCAGCTGTTTCAACCAAAGCTCGCTGATGCAGACAGATCTGTTTCTTTTATTATGTACAGACTATCAAATATCATCCTGTGGTTTGCTGAGCATTAGCAAAGTGTGTGCTGTGTGTCGGTGAGGGTGGAGTAGATGTGGTCCTGGTCTGTGGGGGCTGGAGTCATGGTCTCATAGGTGGAGTCACATGTGGATCCTGGAGCTCCGCTCTTCTGCTGGGCTGCAGGTAACTGAAAATATTTAACACATCCAGTTACAGCACATGTATGTATGCAGCTGGTGTTTGCTGCCCTCTAGTGGCACTAATCTGTCATGCAAGGTTAATGTTGTTGTCATAGAGATAGTTCATGAATATAAATACCTTGGTGTCTGGATTGATGACTCCTTCACCTTTAAACCACATATAGAGAGACTAGTAAAGAAACTGAGACTTAAACTTCGTTTTTCTTTTGCAGTGAAAAAACGTCTTGTCACTGCAACCTTTTTATCTGTGTTAGATTATGGTGACATTCTGTATATGAACGCTTCTTCTTCATGTCTTCTAATGTTGGACACGATGTATCATGCTTCCTTGAGGTTTATTACCAACTGTAGATATCTGACCCATCACTGTGACTTGTACTTAAGAGTAAAATGGCCTTCTTTGGCCATTAGAAGACAGGGGCACTGGTACACTTTTATTTACAAAGCTATGCTAGGATTGCTGCCTCCTTATATTTGTACTTTGGTCACAAGGACAAATAGTGGTTCTTACTCCTTACGTTCAAATGATCAGCTGCTGTTGTCTGTTCCCCTTGTCCACACAGAGCTGGGTAAGAAAGCCTTTGTCCACTCTGCGCCTTTTTCGTGGAACCTGTTACAGAAAGACTGGAAACTGACTGAACTGTTGTCTTTAAATGTTTTTAAAACTAAACTCAAAGGCCTACAGGCTGCCTCAATAATGTGTAATTGTTTTGTGTAATTTTAACTTTGTTTGTTCGTATGTATTTGTTTGGAAATGTGCTGCCTCTTGGCCAGGACTCCCTTGAAAAAGAGGTTTTTGATCTCAACAGGTCATTCCTGGTTAAATAAAGGTTAAATAAAAATAAAAAAAACTCTGACAGAAACACTGATGGAGTTACCTCCACCTGTCTTCCATCTGATTTCCTGTTTTTCCTGTTCTCCATCCATCTGTAGAGGAGCAGCAGGAAACCAGCCGACAGCACGACGATCACAACCACACACACAACCAGAGACACAAAGTAATCTGGACACAGAAGAAGACGATGCTGAGTGGGACGTCAAACAGTCATATGAAAGATTGATTAAAACAAACAGACCTGAGGTGGGTGTGGTCCAGGTGGGCGGAGCTGTGAACAGATCCAGAATCAGTGATGACGCAGAGACACGCTGAAGACATGAGACACAGCAGCTCCAGACAGATGTGTACACGAGGTTCTCTCTGACCTCAGATCAGTTTTAGTCCAGAGGAGATAGTTTCTCCATCATGTGTCCATCATCATGTGGCTTCTTCTCTGAGTGATGAAGCTGTAACCTGCAGGTGTGGGCGGCACGCCGAGCTGCTCGCATACGCTGATGTCTGGAAGTCCTGATGCACTGATTTCATCCCAGAGTCGACCCTGCGCACAGAGATTCCTCCAGGATCTGTGAGGACGTTGAGGATATGATGTTCTGTAGATCACAGTGAGGAACATTATTCTGAGACTGTTCCACAGTCTGTAGATGCAGGTTTTTGCACATTGGTGAACAACTGATGATGTTTTTATACTTGATCATGTGACGGACCTGCTGAAAATAACCCGGTCAGCTGCTGCTCCACCTCTTTTTTTCAGCCTTTTTTTCCCCTCAAGTCAACTTTAAGACGTGTTGCTGAAATCAAATTTAAAATGAGTCAGAAATATTGAGGAAATATTAAATGTCTCAGTTTGTTTTTGAGATGTTTTTGGGAATTATGAATTATTTGCTTTTCATTCTAAGAGTTTTTCTAAATTTAAAGCCATCAGGACACATTCAAAAACACGAGGGCTGAACACCAAAGACCGAAAACGCACTTCAGAACTTTTCTGTTCAGTCTTTATTCGACCAAGATACTCAGACTTAAGATGTAGGCACAGGTTAGTGTCATGCCCAGAGTTCTGGACTCACATACAGGGTAAGAGTGAATAAAGAAAGCTGTTCAACATCGTACACTTACATGTGAAAGCTCAGGAAACTGTAGACACAGAGTAGATAAATGTCAGCGTCACCTTGGGCCCAACCAGGGCAGTAACGCTCAGGTGCAGGCCTGAGTAACTGCTCTCAGATCATTTCAAATGATCAGCAGGACCAGCTCAGTAAGACAGTTGTGTGTGATGCTGCAAACGTTGGCACTGATGTGATACCAGGTAAATACACGGCCAATTATAAGCATCGATGCCAATACTGATACTTTAACCCACAAATGTAGCTTCTGTGGGGAAGAACACTGTGTCATGAGATCAGTCATTAATTTGCATACTTTCAGCTTTTATTTTGAAACTGTTTTTTGTAGACCTGAGTGTAAATGTCCCTGTCTCTCGTCGGGTCAGCTTCTGTTGATTAGATTTAAATAAAACAAACGTGACAACCAACATGAAAAAGATATTTTTATAGTGACTGCGTGGCGTACATTTTTTATTTCCAAAGAAATGACTGACTTAACACAGTTCAGTGAGCTGCATGCTGGACTTGGAAACAAAGTATTGATCGTAGCACACTAGTACAGATCCAGCATCAGTGCTCATACTGATAGCTGGATTTAGTTGATTAGATGATCACAGGTCAGTAAGTACGATGGCAACAGACCAGCAACACTCACAGGAGCAAGAATCAGATAAAGTGTGAAGCATTGCAACGTTTTACTATTAAACACAGTTAAACAGGAACCATTCAGCTATGTAAAGAATTTACAATACAAAGGTTAATTATGTTTGATACCAAAACACATTATTTAGTGTAATCTTATTTACGGCCTTTTAATGTGAAGCTGGTCAAAGTGGCCTCTTTAATCACATTGTAGCAAAAGTTATTAAGTCATTAGATTAGTGACAATCATGTAACATACGTGATGTGAAATCCAGCGTCTGTAGGGACGGCAGCAACAGAGGACAAAGTTCAGGGGTTAGCCTTCATTTACACCCACAGCTCAGAGAGGCGGGGCTTATAAACTGAAGTGATAACAAACATACACAAATAAAAAAACCTTGAAAATGATAAATATTATAACTGATGTTTACAGTTATAAACATCACAGACGTATCTGTGGATGAGTTTGTGATGGAAACATTTCAGGATTTTACTGGGATGTTACTGATTTGCAGGAAATTGTGTCCGTCTGACTGAATCGCACATGTGACATGTACTGCATGTCGGTGAGGGTGGAGTAGATGTGGTCCTGGTCTGTGGGGGCTGGAGTCATGGTCTCATAGGTGGAGTCACATGTGGATCCTGGAGCTCCGCTCTTCTGCTGGGCTGCAGGTAACTGAAAATATTTAACACATCCAGTTACAGCACATGTATGTATGCAGCTGGTGTTTGCTGCCCTCTAGTGGCACTAATCTGTCATGCAAGGTTAAACACTGACAGAAACACTGATGGAGTTACCTCCACCTGTCTTCCATCTGATTTCCTGTTTTTCCTGTTCTCCATCCATCTGTAGAGGAGCAGCAGGAAGCCAGTCGACAGCACGACGATCACAACCACACACACAACCAGAGACACAAAGTAATCTGGACACAGAAGACGACACTGAGTGGGACGTGTGTGTTTCAGGGTCATAAACAGAACGTTTTATTGCACTGACAGGATATTAATAAAGCTGCCAGACAGGTGAGTACCTGTGATCTGCTCAGGGAGAGCTGGCGTGGGGGTGGTGCCGGTGGGTGGAGCTGTGAACAGAGAAATGCCGTTAGAGACGTGAGACAGAAAACTAGTCCTGTTCCAGCTATGAACAGCAGGGGGCGACAGACGTCTCAGTGACTCACTCACAGGAGTCTCTGAGTGCATCACTTCCCTTTTTCTAAGGAAGTCAGCTCTCAATAAAAGAGGAAATCTGTGTGTCAGTGAAGCTGAAAGTTCCTGAAAAAGCCGTCGTGTTGATGCTGAGAAAACACAAACACTCCTAAAATAACACAAAGACTATTTCAGAGCATCCATATGATGGTGTCACTTCCCCTTTCAGCAGAAAGAAAAGTGGCGCCTGTCCAGTATTCAGGCCTGTTTATACCAATCATTACATGTCATTGTTGCAGCTGGGACCGCCACACCTGGCCCTGACACGGTTTGGCCGTACGTGCTGAGAACTGAGCCTCCACATGTGACGAGTGAAGAGCGAGCGCGTGGATTTCCCCCGTGCCGGCTCCCTGTTAAACCCAAAATCAAACTAAATGAACAACATAAAGAAGCAGAGCTGTGATGATGACTGCATGACGTTTTCAGGCTGATGCATGAAGTTTGGTTTGAATAAAAATGATTTGGGATCCAGTAACGACTCACCTGAGACCGTGAGGCGTATCTTTGCGGCGTCGCTCTGACCGTGTTTGTATACGATGGTGATGATATATTCCCCGCTGTCCTGCGGCGTCAGCGCGCCCAGGGTCAGGTGGCCGTTGGCTGCATTAATCCACGCTCTGCCCTCGTAGGACGTGTTCAGTCTGAGCGTGGAGGAGCTCACCGAGGCAACGGTTATGATCTCCTTCCCGTCATTGAAGTGCCAGAACAGAGCCGAGCTCTGCAGGTCCTGAATCGGCGTTTTCAGCGTCACGTTGCTTCCGACACCTGCGTGCACGGAGCTTTCTGACAGGATCCTCTGACCCACGCAGCGCCCTGCAGGGACACAGGTCACATGACGCACCATCAGAGCTGTGCTGATTATACCGCCGTGACCTCTGACACTAACAGCTGTGCCACACCTTTACCACAGGAAGCAAAAACAGCAAAGCTTTCAAAGTAAAACCGAGCACCAAAACCCACTTTATGTAAACATGTTCACATTTCCAGCTGTCCTCTCCACAGTGGATCCGTTTCACACGTTTTCACTCCTGATTTCAGTTTGTTTGTTTCCTGTAAATCTGCTCCGAGGTCACATTTACAACCTTCCTCAGAGCTCCTTCCTTCAGCTGAGAGCGGGGTCAGCTCTGAGGAGGGCCGGACTACAAGCCCAGACCAACGGCTTCTCTTTACCTCTGTTTACCTGCTGGATCACCATGGTAACAGCAATGGTCACGCTCCAGCAGATGAACCAGGTTTGGGATAACCTCCGATAAATACCCGTGTTTGTTGGAGGTTATCCCAAACCTGGTTCAGGCTTCAGCGCGACTGCTTCGCGTTAACTTCAGCGGAGCTCTGACCAGGACGGGTCAGAGCTAAAGGGCAGCAGCTTCAGCCTTTATAATGACTAAAATATTAAACATTCAGCGCTGAGATGCTTAAATTCTTACCGATGGACGCGAGCAGACACAGGAGGGCGACCCGAGCCATGGTGGACGCGTCCAACGTTCCCAGCTGAGGACTCGGCTCTGGTTTCCTGATCTTTCTAGCAGCTCCGACTCACAGCCGAAGAGGAAGCTGGTCCGTGTTTTCTGCAAACGCTGGCACATTTCAGGGTTTCTAGAAAATCACCAAGCAAACGAGGAAGCGTCCGAGCCTTCATGGCTGCACGGGCCTGAAGCCCACAGCTGGGGGAAGTTTGGTAATCACAGGAAGGATGATGTCAGCGATCCCACTGCGACCTCTCCGACATCCTTGGTACACCTTCCAGCACGACCACACTGACCCTCAGTTTCACGCGTAGACACACATACAGAGGACGTCTGAAAGTGTTTCTGAACCTGCGAGCGTTCAGGCACAGCGGGCGGAAGATGTTTGGATCCAGGAGGACTCTTCAGACAGAAACCTAGGAGCTTATGAAGCGCTTTGTTCATCAGGAACCCGATGGTCATCCTCGCAAACATGAAACCTCCACCATCATCTGAAGCAGAGTCCAGCTCTAACACATTAACGGCAGCACAAACATGTCTGTGCTTCCGTTACAACATTACTAAATCTATGAAGGGTCCAAATGAGACTCCAGTGTGGGTGAAACATGTTTCCTGCAATCAAGAAACGTGCTGGCTTCGTTTGTCAGATTCAGACCCGTTTGATGATGAAATCACTCATCATCACGTCCTGAAGACTAAAACATTATTTACCACAAAGACACCAACACATTAAATGAGTCTGTCAGCGTTTCAGCTCTTTATTAAATAACAAAAGGTCAGAAAATGAAGAACAGCTGGAAAACAAACCAAGAGGCAGTGCTGCCATCTGGTGGACGTCAGTGAGGACGCGCTCATGCTAAACTACAGCAGTCCAGCTAATACTGTTTCTGATGTGGTGACTGAGCCGCCCTCAGTGTTACATTTGCATATTCATTTATCTCACAAAGAGGAAGACGTGCAGTTAAAGGACATCCTGTAAACCTCAGTATCAGCCGAGCGATGAGCTAATCCTCCTAACGAGTTCATCGGAAGCTGCACTGTGTGACACACCTGTGAGACGCCGGCCTTCTCCTAAACACAATAATAATGATACATGACCAGGATATGTTTGACCTATCAGGTTTAAGTTATCCTAACATCAGGTGTGTGGGGGCGTGGCCACAGGAAGGTCAAAGTGCTTTATACTGTTTGACAGCAACAGGGAAGCAGCAGGTATAAAACTGTTTCTGAGGATCTGTATTTCATACTGGCTCCTCCCACGTGCTCCTTCTCTTCCAGAGCACTGATTGGTCACTCAGCAAAGGTTACACCTGGTTGAGCCACAGAGCCGAGATCACGCATCAGTCCCAATCATCCTACGCATGCTTTATCAATAACACAAGCTCACCTCACAGGAGCCTGTCACCTGACCGCAGTCAGCTGATCAGCAGCGGGGATGTGCGACGTGGACGACAAACACGTGACTCTAATTACTCAGCAATGCACGACTGCATGTCGGATCCAGGAGGTTACGAAGCTGCCTCCCTCCCACCTGCAGCAGGTGTGACCACGCGTGTGATGTCACACAGAGTGCGGACACGCTGCTGCTGCCGGTGTACGGACAGCATTCCCGACGGCGTCCGCGTCACGAGGTCGTTCTTGCAGTGAAAACAGGAACACGCTGGTTTCTGCTGATGTCTGAATGAAGTTTTGATTCCACCGTCAGGCGAGGGTGAGCGACGGGCTGGCTGAGCTGTGATGCCACGCCGAGCTGTCATCCTCGCGGCGTTCACGTCTTGCTGCTTTCGGCGACGCACTTGTGCTTTTTGACCTGCGAATGCCACGTGAACCTTTTGTCGCACACGTTGCACTTAAAGGGCTTCTCCTCCGAGTGGACGGCCATGTGCGTGATGACGTTGGCCTTGTTGGTGAACTTCTTGGCGCAGACGGAGCAGCTGAACGGCTTCTCGCCCGTGTGCACCCTCATGTGGTTGACGAGCGTGTTGCGCAGGCTGAAGCTCGTGTTGCACACGGAGCAGGTGAAGGGCTTCTCCCCGGTGTGCACGCGCAGGTGTGTGGTGAAGTTGGAGCTCTTGGAGATTTTCTTGCCGCAGAACGGGCACGTTTTCTCCCCCGTGTGGCTCTTCATGTGGCTCTGCAGGTGGTTCTTGCCTCCGAAGCGTTTGCCGCACTCAGAGCAGCTGTAAGGTTTCTTGGCTAAGTTACTTCCCGCGTCTCTCACAGCGTCCTCTGACGGCGGTTTCCCGCTCTGCACTGGAGCGTCCTCTGGGGCCCCGGTGTCAGAGGAAGTCCTGACAGGCTGCGGGTGGAGGTTTCTGGCTGCTTCTGGTCCTGCTCGATCCTCTCCACCAGCTCGTGCCTGCAGCTGGCGGCTGCTGAGCTCGCTGCGGGTGTGAAGGAGGTCGGGGGACTGAGTGCTCTCTTCCACCTCCTCCTCAATCTTCACGGTGACGGGAATGATGGTGAGGTCCTCGTGCACTCCGGGCCGCTCTCCCGGCTGATTGGTCCAGAGCCCCTCATGTTCATCTTTGACTCGTGGCGGTTCTGGACTCTCCCGGTGCAGACCGGGGCTCTTCTGCTCCTGTGATGCTCCTTTATCCGCCGTAAACTTTGTGGGGCTCAGGGGAGACCCTGGAGGACACAGAGGGAGGAAACGAGCACTGGTTAGCCCAACAGACCAAACGTGGCCAGCAGGGGGCGCTCCTCTGGAGCTATGAGTACGTCTGTCCCATTCACTGCTTTCAGGCTGACTGAATAAAACATGAAGTTCATTTTGGACATTTTGGTTTTGTTACAGAGGACCAGACAGCAGGATTAGTTACCATGGTTACGTCCATCTAAGAGTGCACGGTCATGTGATTAGTGTCGTGTAACACGGTTACTCATAAACAGTTACTGTCTTCTTTTTGGGGGGGTTAACTTTCAGTATATCATTTAAATGAAAAATAATGGGGCTGCGGTGACATCACTGCTGAACCATAGTGGCTCCTTTAGGTGCTGAGGGGGAGGTGTCAGCTGCAGCCCCACAGCTGTCCCTGTGGGGCTGCAGGTGGGGCTGCAGGTACACACACTCACCTGCACCGTTAGTGAAAACATGCTGCTGCTCCATCCACAACACCAGAGAAAAATTATTCTCCATGGTTACTGTTCCTACGGAGACACATCTCACCTGCACCCAACTTACAATTAAACTGCCTAGTTAAAATTTACAACATCTGGAACAGCTGCTTATCCTTTCCAACGACAACAACTAAATAATATTAACTATTATTACTATAAATATTATAACAAAAGTAATATTTTTATTAGTATTGTTGTTATTTTGTTGTTGTTATTATAAAAGAATAACATGAATAACAATAATAAAAATTGTCATTATTCATTCATTATTGTCATTATTAATAACAACAACAACAATGGTGATGATGACGATAACAATAACGACCACATCAATGGTGTTAGCCGTCCGGTCTGTCTCCGGTAACCCACCGTGCGGGCCCCCCGGCTCTCGGCAGGGTGTCCGTCCGGCTGCCTGCTCCTGTGCAGGCGGATCTCCTGCTCGTACTCCTCCATTGTCCTCTCAAAAAGCGCGAAAATCTCCTCAGCGGCCGCGTTGAGCCGCTGCTTCACCAGCGCTCTCAGCACCTCAGCCTTCGACATTTCCCCGCCGTCAGCCGGACACGCAGATGCCGAGCCGAGCGAGTCTGCGGCTGCGCGGAGAAGGTTCGGAGGACAAAGTCGCAGGGAGCACCGACACCTGCCCGCTAACCTCCCCAGGACCTAACCCTGACCTCACCTGTGTTTCTTTACTGGGACGGAACACACCGAGCCTGTCTAATCCGAACCGGAAACCCGACTGCTACTAATTTGTTCTGCACATGCGCTGAACAAACTACTTCCCCTTTTCGACTTTTCATAATAAAAGCATTCTTTTAGCGCGATTCTCATATGGACACCCCGCACCACCCGACCCTAAAATGGATAAAAGAGAGGATTGATGGATGGACATGTCATTGTGTTCAGTATAACAACAAAGTGCTTGACATACATCAAAATTACTAGAAAATGAGGTGTAATAAATAAGAACATACTTTACAGGAGAGAGGATCAAAGTTGGGAGACTTTTTATTTAATAATATTGTATATTCATTTTTTCAGCTTGATAAGATTGTAAATACGTTATACGTTAATGTCAGATATGAATTGGACAGTTCATACAGTCCTACATATGAAAGCAGTCCTACATATTTGTTTACAGTTTTTTACAGCCACTAGGACACATTTCTCAATACTTAGGTCATTTTTGCAAAACTCTTCACACAATTCCCGTAACTGACCTTCAGCTTGGCAAAGCAGTTCATTTCACATTCAAAATGCACTACAACTACCAAAACACTTTATTCAGGTCTCAAATAAACTCATTCTTCCAGAACACTAGCAAAGGTTGACAGCCGACAAACACACTTTGTCACCCACAAAACAATGACCTAAAAAACACTAACAACATGTAGCATTACACAGTGTTTTCCTGTGTAAAACAAGGACACATCTCTGTTTATAATTTCAATATATGTTACTGGAATGAATCAGACATCATGCAGAATTCGTTAATATTTGTTTATGTATTTTTATTTTTTTGCACTAAGTAATCCCAAAATACAAGAATTTGTATACACACCATCCACTGATACACATACAATAGTAATGCTAATCTACTCGGTCTTCTCCATTTCTGGCTGGGTCCATGTTTACATCACAAAGCAAACCTATTCAGCAGTCGTCTCCTTTTGTAATGAAATTGAAGGAGTAACACCTGTGTAGATGTTCATCTACAATGAGAATCAGCTGTGGCTGGTTAAACTGGATTTTTAGATTTAAAATATGTTTCAATAAAATATTGCTGTTGCATTTTGCTCTTTTTAAGTTTTGCATTGTGTTATTGTTTTGGCCATAAGTTTAACAGTTTTGAAAACAGTATGTAAGTACATGCAAAACGTCCTGTACGTACAAAGCTTTTTGGCAGTTGTTATGTCTGAGTGAGAAGATAATTCATGAAATTTGAGAGATGTAGTCATTGAATGCCTTTTGTGCCAAAACAATGATAACTGATCCTCAGTTTAGCCCACATAGACTTCTGTTGTGCTCACTGTGTGAGGAGTTTTGCAAAAGTGACCTAAGTATTGAGAAATGAGTCCTAGCGTCTGTAAAAAACTGTAATATGTGCACTGAAGGACATATCAGGCAGTGAAGAATAGTTTTCAAGAAGGCCTTCGTGTTTTGAGCAGGACAATGCGTAACTGCAGACTAGATCTGTTCCAGCAGCACGGCTGCAGTACTGACCTCTGATCAGCCGAGATGTGAATCATCATGAACGCAACAACAGGACGAAGCAGAGCCAGGACTGCTAAAACTCTGCTCTCCTCAGCTCACAGACCCAGAAAACTAGGAGCTCTGAAATGAGCTCCTAGTTTGTGTGTGTGTGTGTGTGTGTGTGTGTGTGTGTGTGTGTGTGTGTGTGTGCGTCTGTGTGTGCGTCTGTGTGTGTGTGTGGGTGCGCGTTTGTGTGTGTGTGTTTGTGTGTGTACGTGCGTCTGTGTGTGCGTTTGCAAACTAGAAAACTAGGAGCTCTGAAATGAGCTCCTAGTTTTCCTGAAATCATGCATTTCCTCAAATGACAGGCTGACATGTTTTCTGTGATCTGCTGTGAATAAAATGTTTGTGATTGTCACTTCTCCTCACTCCTATTGTTGTTTTCATTTTACATGGATTTCCAAGTTTTTTGCAATTAGTGTTTTACTACTCAGCATATCATATGTGTGTGTGTGTGTGTGTGTGTGTGTGTGTGTGTGTGTGTGTGTGTGTGTGTGTGTGTGTGTGTGTGTGTCCTCACTGCAGACACTGATACAGTGATGATCTTCCAGCTGCAGCAGTCACTTCCGTCTGTGAGGTTTTTGTACGAGTGTTTTTCACTGTGTGAACATCGGAGTGCTGTGGTAACTCTGACAGTAATAAACTCCTGCATCATCAGCCTGGACTGCACTGATGCTCAGAGTGAAGTCCAGGCCATTCCCTGCTCCACTTCCACTCAGTCTGGAGGAAATTCCTGAAAGTCTGTCTGATGTTCTGTAGATCAGAGCTTTGGGAGCTTCTCCAGTTTTCTGATGGTACCAGGTCAGGTAGTATTGTGAACCAGAATACTGAGCTACTTGTGTACTGACTTTACAGTTGATGTTTACAGTCTGACCAAGCTGCACAGATTTGGATGCTGACTGAGTCACCACAACGTTTTGTCCAGCAGACCCTGAGGAGAGAAAAAACTCTGGACATGAGCTGGTGAGGTGAAACTCAGCTACGCTCTGAATGATTTTCACGTGACAGAAAAATGATTTTCCTCACCTTGAGTCAAGCAGAGGAGAGTCCAGATGAGGACGCAGATCAAAGTCATGTTTTTGATGAAGAGGATTTCTGTGGCGTCTGTTGTGATGAAGGCCAGCTGTCAGTCATGCAGTGTTCAACTGTCAGGACTATAAACTCTCCCAGAGCACTGGAGCATGGTGCTGCTGATGCAAAGCAGCTCACCGTGGACATGCTCAGATTGACTCCAAGGCGGACTCGATTACTCTCATGGATCTATCAGTTATCACAGGATTCATCTGGAGTCTTCTCTGCATTTTGCATCTCTTAAGTTTCTTTAAGTATTTTCTTTGTTTTTTTACATAGTGAAAGTAGATAATGAGAATATTTATCTTGTTTAAATCTGGCTTATGTTGAAATATTCTGACGGGTTCGGTTTAGCAGATAACGTCTTTATCAGTGAAATGATCAGCTGGTGATAGTTTAACAGTAATTATGATTGTAGAAATGCACCAAATGAAATGATTAAAATGTTGAATGTAAATAACTGAATATTTGTTCAAAGTGTGTTATATTTTGTATTAAACACTAAAACCATGCAGATAATTAGAAGTTGATGCTGAAGATAATTACTGAGATGCTGTGTAACAGTTTGGCCCCAGTGCAGTTTGTTGAGCTTCAGGTCACATGAGGACTGTGAGTGCGCTGATGTGCATGACAGCTTTGTTAAAGGGAAGTGAAACACTGTGTGAGTGAGTGACTGGTGGAGCAGAAAAACATCTGTCAGAAAGTCCTTAAAGGAGAAGATCTGCTCTCACACAGTGAAGGCGTTACTGCCAGCTGTGCCGTGTGCTCCCTGTCCTCTAAGCTGATTGGTGTCTCCTAGGTGACGCTCGTCCCACCCTGACGGTGCTGCCCCCTCCAGAGAGGAGCTGCAGCAGGGGAAGGCCACGCTCATGTGCCTGGCCAACAAGGGCTTCCCCTCAGACTGGAGTCTGTCCTGGAAGGTGGACGGCAGCAGCAGCAGCAGCTGGGAGGAGGGCAGGAGCCCAGGGGTGCTGCAGGAGGACGGCCTCTACAGCTGGAGCAGCACCCTGAGGCTCCCTGCAGACCAGTGGGAGAAGGTGGGCTCTGTGACCTGTGAGGCCACCCAGGGCTCCCACACTTCTCTCTCACAGACACTGAGGAGAGACCAGTGTTCCCAGTCCTGAGCTGACTCTCTCTCTTTTTCTGTCACTCGTCTTTGTTTTGTTCATCATTTCACTGTTTGACACAATAAAGATTCATTCAAAGAAACTCTCGTTCCACTTCTGCCCTTTTTAACTGAGCTTAAATTTAAATTTTTTAGTTCACCGTTATTCATACAGGTAGTCCCACTTGTACAGCATCAGAGTCTGAATGCGAAATGTTTCAGAAAAACATTAAAGTTACAACAATAAAAGAAACACCAAAGTACCTCAAACTGTTTAATATTTAAGAAGTTCCCAGTGTTCAATCACACATTGTTGTCAACTCTTAATGATGACATTAAAATAACTTGTTGTTATAGAGACTGAGACCCCCACGGCCTCATCCACCTGCGACTGTCTAAATAAGGCTGATAGGTGGTGCAGAGTTCAGAAACACACATGTGATTGTACTGGTGTTCATTTGACTTTAACACACTATTATAATATTTAATGAGAATTATCCGATGCTCAGAAATGAGTGGGAGGAGTCATTCTGTGGTACGATCCTGTAATAGTAGATGTCACTGTTTTTATAACAGCACGTGGATAAAACGTGCTTTCATCATTAAACAACATCTTTAATTTCCTATATAAAAGTCTACAATGTAAACAATAAAAAACATCCATACTTAATGTTTTAGTATTTGTAAATGGCCTGCATTTGTGTTATTAAAATGATCATCAACAGAATTTTTCAAAACTGACTTAGAAAGTTCAGTTTTTGTTAAACTGAAATGTGTTAGTATAACCTGATGAGCTGCACAGTGTTTGTTTCCTTCACAGCGAAGTTAGTCTTTAGTCTGAGTGCAGCTGTTGAGACAGTTCCTCTAAAGCTGAGGGAGGTTTTTGTACGGCGCTGTATCGCTGTGTGAACAAGTTGCTACCCTGCTGACAGTAATAAACTCCTGAATCTTCAGCCTGGACTCCTCTGATGCTCAGAGTGAAGTCAGTACCAGATCCACTTCCACTGAAACGATCTGAAACTCCAGACTGACGATTTGTAGCTTTATAAATCAGGAGTTTAGGAGCTTTGCCAGGTTTCTGAAGGTACCAGTGAAGCCAGTCACCAACACTTGTACTGGTTCTACATGTGATGGAGACAGACTGCCCTGCAACCACAGACTGAGCTCCAGGAGACTGAGTCACGATGATTTGTCCTGATGAACCTGGAAAAGATGGAAAAAAGGAGAAGGGTTACTGAGACAAATCCAGCGTGGAGAAAGATGATCAGCATCCAAACAGAAGATGGAGAACAGATGGAAGAAGGTCACTGCTGCTGGTTTCAGTGTTCACGCTGAAGCCACGCGCTCACAGAGAGTCTCACCCTGAACAAGGAGCCCCAGGGTGGCCAGCAGTAGAGTCAGTGACATCATCATTGTGCTGCCGGCGTGTCAGTGTCTCTGAAAGGCCTGGACAGACACTGATCAACACTGGCCTCTTAAGGGCTGTGAGCAGAGGCAGGACACGTATGCAAACACACAGAGTCAGTCAGCTGGAGCCGTCCTCAGCACATCACCACCTTTCCTTCTCACTCGTGGCTCTACTCGCTGTTTTTCTCATGCAAACTATGATATTACCTTCACAGTTTTACATATTCCAGAATTAGTTGGTCGCAAAGATAGAACATTTTTAAACTAAGCAGTCTGGTACGATGGCAGCGTTCACACTGCCGGTGACTTGATTGCAGTCAGGTGTGAAGGCTGATTGGAGTCTCCACCTGAAGGTGGAGCCCAGTGCTATGAAAAATCCCACACTCAACAGGCCCATGACAACATGATAACAGGATTATATTCTTAAACTTAGTTACAGCACAGCCAGAATACATCTATTGTGATAAAGTCTACTCTCCGCTGCTGTGTAATCAATGATTTTAAATGTAAATGTTATCAGGAAATGATCAGACAGGAGAGGGTTTTCAGGATACACTGTTAAATGTTCAGGTTCGATGCCATATGTTAAAACAAGATCTAGAGTGTGATTAAAGTGGTGGGTGGGTTCTTTTACATTTTGAGAGAAACCAATTGAGTCTAATAACAGATTAAATGCCATGTTGAGGCTGTCATTTTTAGCATCTACATGGATGTTAAAATCACCCACAATAATTATTTTATCTGAGCTCAGAACTATATCAGATAAAAAGTCTGAGAAATCAGACAGAAACTCTGTGTAAGGCCCAGGTGGACGATAGATGATAACAAGTAAGACTGGTTTCTGAGTTTCACAGCTGGGGTGGACGAGGCTAAGCATCAGGCTTTCAAATGAATTAAAAGTCTGTCTGGGTCTTTGGTTGATTAATAGGCTGGTGTGAAAGATTGCTGCCACACCGCCCCCTCGGCCTAAAGCTGCCTCCATCCATCACCTATCCTTGCTGACATGTGGCACAGTTATTAGTACTGTTGCCTCAACACAAGAAAGTCCTGATTTTGATTGCACCACCTGCCTGAGGCCTTTCTGTGTGGAGTTTGGACTTTCAAATACATGATTTTAGAGATTCTTTAAAATCAGTTCAGTACATGTTTTCTTTTCTATGTTTACGTAACATAATTTTTCAATAAGGCCATCACATATGAATTTTCCGTTATATATATATTTCACTTCACGTTTCATTCAGTGTATGCACTTTTGTCATGGTACCTGTGTTGTTGACCTAGTGTTTTTTGTTTATGTTTTTTTGAGTCTTGTGTAATGATATTGTTGTGTTCTCTGTGTGACTTATGTTTCCTAGTTGACTTATCTCTATTCCTACTTTGTTATTAGGCCCCTTTTTATGTCCTGGTCTCGTCTCTGTGTCCTTAACCTGGCATTTCTGTGAAGTCTGTCTCATGTCCAGGTATAGTTGCCTGTTTCACCAGTCATGGCTCTGTGTTTCTGTCTGGTCTCTCTCGCTGTCCTGTCCTGTCTGTCTTCTCATTCTGTTCCTTGTATTTTAGGCGGTCTGCATCTTACTGTGTGTTTCCTGTTTTATTCTGAAAGTGTCTTGTCCTGTGTGCGTCATGTTCAGGCTTGTTTCCCAGCTTCTTCTCAGTTGTTAGATTGTTGCCAGCTGTGTTCCCCAGGTGTCCTCATTCCCTCTTGTATTTAGTGTCAGTGGCGTGTCCAGCGAGGTGGCCCGGGGGGGCACAGGCCACCCCCCCAACCAGACTGGCCACCCCAGGTGCCACCCCAAAGGCAAAACAATAAAATTCAATCAAATATCAAATGTCCGATTATGTTTTCACGGTGAAGCTCAGATATCCGAGTGTAAGTGAATGCAGCATCGGCTTCTGCGCTATGTGCATCACGTTAGCAAAGGTAGGAGAGCCAAGCGCGAAAGACGCACTACAGGAAGCAATTTTTCGGTGAAAGAAAATGAGGACAGAATAAATGTCCCGGTAAGTAATATTAAGTTTGTTGAGTTTAGTAAACTTCGGTGAAATTAGAATACCAAGGAAAAAATAACACTTAAAGAATTATTGCAGCTGTGGAATATTTCAGACAGTATGCTACTGAGGGCAGCTAACATAAGAGTTATGAGTTATAAGATGTAATCTAAGTCGTAACATTGCTGTATGGAGCTGCAGATTTGGTTGCAGGTTAACATAGCTGGACTGGCCATCGGGCATACCGGGCATCTGCCCGGTGACTTATTTTTAATTTTTTTTTGTAACGGCATGAACAATGAGAGGTGGTGGATTGGCCAGATGCAGGTCGATGTGTAGAAATAACGCCGTTGTTTGGTGGTGGCTATGGCGGGGCTTCCACAGAGGCCAGCAGGTGGATGAGGGAAGGGGAGGCAGGAGGAGAGCCCCGAGGCAGCCACCAGTCCGAGTGTCAGGTGAACTGAACTTCAGGTAAGAAGTTATGACCTGCAGTCTATCTGGGTCAGATATAAACCAAGTTTAGGTGGAGTTTATTTTCGTTGTGCTGACTTTTTACTGTCAGTTGCAATAACTCATACTGCGTACTAACCAGCTTGACGGAGTTTTTATACAGCTGGGTGGGTGCTATGATGTTACTGATAGTGAACTTTATTTTATTCATAAGGTTAGTTAGTAGAGTTGCCAACGGCTCCTTAAAAAAATGGAATGGTCCCTCAATCAGAGAAAATATTACACGTTTCGTATTGAGCTGAGAAGAGACGCAGTTTGTCCCGAACTTTAGCTAGAATGGAAAAAAGACACAAAGCTGGAGTTATTCTGTCGTAACGCTGCACAGCTGCCTCTTCTTCTCTCATTCTCTCCCCCTCCCTCTCCTGTTGCTACTTCAATCATGAAACTGATCAATGATCAGCTGATCGGCTTTTCTCTCTTGTTTGTTTATCGCCCACTTTGCGCCAGAAAGAGGAAACCAGCAGATGTCACGTTAAACAACAGCAGCACTTTTAAGCTTGATCAGCTGTTGTTAGAATGTATTTAATATTAATTTCTAGTATCAGCTGATGTTTGCTGGAGACACAGCTGTAAAGCTGCTGGTCAGGATGGTTTGGATATGTGGTGAGAGGGAAACATGAAGATGAAACCAGGAGATGTCCTTACTGAATCATCAGAGCTGAACAGGTGATGGAGAAACAGGTTTACCTTTTAGGTGACATGAATGAGTTGAAGTTATGAACTGTTTCTGAGAGACAAATAACACCAGGATCCTTTTTTATGTAGCTGACAGCTGGTAACTATGCAGGGGCGGGTCTAGCAAAGTTTAGCCAGGGGGGCAGGTAGGGCATTAACAGGGAAAGGTGGGCACAAAGAAATACTTTTCTTTCTTATTCTCATTTAAAATATCTAGCTTTTATTAAATAATTATCTAAATCTTACAACCAAAGTTTTCATCTGACGTAAAATGTATAGAAATCATACATATACCAACAAGACAGTGTACATATGGAAAAGATATATATAAATCTTATAAAGTTTGTATCTGTCTTGTGTGAAACTTGTATGAAAAGCATATAAGAGTAAAAACAGATATAAGATCCCTTGAAAAATTATATAATGAAACTTGTATCTTTTGGATACTTACTAAAACAATATATGAAAGTAATGAGAAAGTGGCCACTTTCATGAGTAAATCATACAATCATACAAATAGTTTTTACTATTTCTTTTCCATATGGGACTGTCACAACAGCATTTGTTTACATTCAAAGGCTTTATGGCTTTAATACCTGGTGGGCCGGTCTGTAGTCAAAATGCCCGATTTTCTGTCCCAGTCCAGCCCTGCAGGTTAATACTGGCAGTGTCACCATGCCAGCTGACTGTATTTTATCATCAGCCAGTGTTGTTCTTTATCAATATTACCAAAGTTTACCATAAGGCAGCATAGAAAGTATTTACTTGCTTTCAGGTTTTATTCAAATGTTAGTCTTTTCAGTTGTTTCTCCACTTTTTTCCTGTTTCACAATCAAACACCAGTTTGTGAGAAGATTATCTTCTTTTTTTAACAGGCAGATAAAGTTTTGCATTGGCTAATTTGTCAATTTTTTGTTACAAATGTTCGTATTTTAATATTCAAAAATGTTTTTGCCCAAAACATATGTGCACTATATGTCAGTAAAAATACTATGCAAATATTGCTGTCCTTGACTGCTGAATAAACACTGACAAAGCACTAATTGTATCTCTTGTACTTTATCAACGCAGTATCTAACAACTTTGCACCGTAGTGGTTAAAGTCCAAAGACATGCAGCTTGTGGGGATAGGTTAATTGGATAATCGAAATTGTCACTAGGTGTGAATGTGAGCGCGAATGGTTGTCTGTCCCTGTGTGTTGGCCCTGCGACAGACTGGCGACCTGTCCAGGGTGTACCCCGCCTCTCGCCCTATGACAGCTGGGATAGGCTCCAGCACCCCCTGCGACCCTGAAAAGGATAAGCGGAAGTGAATGGATGGATGGATGGTTAAAATCTCATTCTAATAAGAGTTAAAAGTGCATTTGGTTATTAGGCTTATAGTTTTATTGAATTATGGTTAACGGTTGGTAGAATTTTTTTTTTAAACATTATCTGCCAATTACATCTGCCACCCTTCTCCAAATCTGTGCCCTTACCTGGCCCCCCCAACAAAAATTTTCTAGACACGCCACTGTTTAGTGTCCGTGTTTCCTTCTGTCCAGTGTCGCGATCTCCCTCTTGCTCTGTGTTCTGCCTCTGTGGTTATTCTCTGTTTGAACCCGTCTATTTAGTATTTTCCAGTTGCCTTCCAGTTTGTTTACTGTAACCCAGCAATAAACCCATTTCGGGTACAGTAGACATTTGAGTTGCTGTAAATAGTTTTAAAAAACCTTTATATGTGACGCTAATGATTTAATATGTTGTTAGGAAAAAGTCTTGTAGCGGTTACAAACGTGAAGCGGAGCTGAGTCCGACAGCATTCGCCATTACACGAACTCCTCTGGTGAGTTAGCGTGCAGCTCATG